GTCTGTCGTACTTGACGAGAGCTTCTCTTCGGGTCTTCCTGTTTCCTCCGCCTCTCATAATTCCACGATTACACCAAGTTAATTTCTCACGATCTTTGTCGAGTACCACCCACCACGGTATAGCAATTTCGGTTCACTTTTGGGGGTTGCACCTCTGCTCCGGTTGTTGGTCGCTTGGACTCAAATGTAAGGACTTCACTTCAGTAGTCTAAGTAACCAAAGAAACATATAAACATAACCTGTCGTTCCTGCAGGTGGAGAGGGTCGATTCGATCGGTCCGCGAGCAATCCATGGCACGGCAGTAGTCGGTTTCGACATTTACGTCATCGGTGGCTTTGACGGCAGGACATCATTAAGCTCATGTTTCTGCTTTAACGCTGCTACGAAGACATGCCGCGAGGTGGCGCCTATGAATGCCCGAAGGTAAGATGCAGCTTGGTAACTAAGGAACTCCTTGGAACAGTGTCCTTTCTAAAAAGCTGATAGTCGCTCCGTTAATCAAGATATAAATGTGGGCAGGGGCTGTAAAATTGAACCACTCACATAAAGGAGTATCGTGCAAAGTGTGAAGAGGTCGGAGGGCTTTTGCGACAAAGTTGGTTTTAAGAATATGATTTGCTTGTTAATTCAATTGAATTATGATTTAACAATGGCGAGCGAACAATTGCGTTCTGCGAGAAGAAATGCATGTGAATCGTAATAAATGAGCATAGCAGAACCGTAATTCTTTTCATTTCAGATGCAGTTTAATGGTGGCAGTTCTGCGAGGTGCGGTGTACGCCATGGGCGGTGGCATTGAAATTGAGGAACTCAGAACGGCGGAAAAATATGACCGCAAGGCGAATCAGTGGTCTTTGATCGCTCCTATGAACTTAAACCGACGGGATGCAAGTGCGGCTGTCCTGAATGGTACGTAAATTCTGTGAAACAGAAATTTGTGAATTAGTGCAGAAGGCGAGGCGTCTGTCTGTCTGTCTGTTTGTCTGTCTGTATGTCCGCGTGTAACAACGCAGGAACGGTTGAAGGAATCGCAGGATTTAAAGTTCTCACGGTGGCCAGTACGAAGATGGCCGTCGTTTGGCTTCTGCCGAAGTTTCAGAGGTACTTTATGCCTTCATCATCAAGGCATTCCTCTTCGCTCTTGAACTTACTTTCCCTCACTCCATCGTCCCATATTCTTTTATCCGTGCTACGTACTACGTTTTTTCACGGACTGCAACAACTTGAAGTTCTGAGTGAGTGATGGTTTCTTCTGCTCTTATAAGCTGTCCGTTTGCATCGTCTTCTGCCTTTTTAATGTACACTAGGAGTGAATGCAAACAACCATCAAACTATCAAACTGTCTCTCATATGATACAGATGTATAGTGTTTTTGAGACAGTATATAATCTCATGTATGATAGCTCAGTCAGTATAGTGACTAGCTACGGGCTGGACGACCGGGGTTCGATCCCCGACGGGGGCAGAGGATTTTTCCTCTAGCCTCTGCGTCCAGGCCGGCTCTGGGGCCCACCCAGCCTCCTCTACAATGGGTACCGGGGTCCTTTCCCGGGGGTAAAGCCGGCCGGGGCGT